TCTGCATAATTCATCACCGGTTGTTTAGTATAAAACATGTTCAGAAAAAAGGAGTGGGAAGGGCTTTATTGTCCGATATATTATTTTATTTCTTGGTTAATTCCATTACCGGTTCAACAAAGTTAATGGATTCAGTGATGATGATTGCTCCATATTTGTATTCACAGGAAGGTTATGCATTCATTTCTTCTGTCGGTGAACACCAAGACCAGCATAGCACAGTATGAAGGTGTTTTAGTCTTATTTGTTTAACCTTCAGAGAATCAATATATTGTCATAACTAACAAAGTGTTATTGTTTTGTACAGTAATTTTTAAAACAATTATAAGCTGCTGTCCAAGTTAAAAGACTAAAAGAATGAATATAAATAACTATAGAGATGATTTGGACAGTAAAAGACTGATTATGGTGGTATTATCTACATGCATGCTGCCTCTTCTACACTTCACTGTTTAGACTCTCTGTATCACAGTTCTTTGTTTTTCTCCTCAGTTTTGTTGTCCAGTACAGATCACTGTGTACCTTACAGTCTCGTTCCTTGGGAAACAATAGCACTGGTATATTTTTATGTATGATATATGCACTTTCTTCCGTGCCATTATTTGCATATTGTCCACCATGTTAGCTATGATTGCTTGAGAGAAATTTATAATAGACTTGATACAACCACTGGCCTCAAGGGAAAATTGACCAGTTGGTGAATAGTTTCTGGAGGTTGGTGGCTGTTGCTAGGTGATATATAAGGTGCTGCACCAAAAACTTCCTTGTGACTACAATTTGCCACGGTCATCTGTAGTTTACATGTTAACTAATTAGCAAAACTAGCAAATTGTGATGCAGACCGGAAACAGAGAAGGTTCGCCTTCAAAATAAAAGCTGTGGCACACAGCTGTAGGTATGTGTAGGTCCTCAGTCATCCAGGTCATGGTAATCTAAAGAGCTTGGAAAGGAAAGCGATTGGATTTGGAAGTTTCACGAAGATGTTTCGCCTCTCATGTGAGAAGCTTTTTCCAGTTCTATATCTGGGACCTCCTTAGATCACAGAGTTCTAGCCAACCACATTTCAAAAGGTGCAACTGTTCTTTAAAGGCAAACTGTTTTCATTTCTGGTTTGAGTCACACTTTAACAGTTCCACTCCCACTCGGAGAGAAGTTGGTGAGTGCTTGCAGCCAAATTGGCATCTTTCATGCTAATTACAAGTAACTGCAGCAATGAAGCAATTACTAAGAGGCTTTTGCTAACTGGTCAAGGAATACATGTTCTTCTTGTAAATGGCCT